GATGATCTTTCTCAAACTCAAGAATTGGCTACATAGTCTGCTCATTGCCGACTTCATATCCTTATTCCTCAGTGTGTAAATGGCAGGATTCAATACAGGTGTAATCAAACAGTCCAAAATGGCAAGGAATTTATCGACTGGCACTGTGGAAAATGGCCACAAATAGAAAAACATGCATGGTCCGAAGAATAAAACCACTACAGCTAGGTGAGCTGAAAGGGTAGAAAGAGCCTTGGAGAGTGCACCTGAAGAGTGTTTTTGTACTGTGATCAGAATAAATATATAAGAGAAAATCAATAATAAAAAGGTCCCAGTGGAAATTATCCCACTGTTGGCAGTAATCATGAATTCCAGTTTGTAGGTGTCTGTGCAGGCAAGTTTGATAAAGCGAGGTAGATCACAGTAAAAACTATCTATCTCATTAGGGCCACAGAAATGCAAATGGGCAACAAAAGCTAGCTGGACTGCTGAATGAATGAGACCAATAACCCAAGAACCAACCATAAGCCAAATGCACATCCGTGGGCTCATGATGCTCAGGTAGTGAAGGGGCTTACAAATGGCCACATATCTGTCCAAGGCCATGGCTATGAGCAGCCCCATCTCAGATCCACCCAAGACGTGAAGCACAAAAATCTGTATGACACATCCTTGAAATGATATTCTGTTTTGCCCAGAGGACAAGTCAAAGATCATCTTAGGAACTATTAAAGTAGATAGACATAAATCAACAAATGAAAGGTTGGCTAATAGGAAGTACATAGGGGAATGCAAATGAGAGTCAAAGGATACAGTAAACATAACAAGGAGATTTCCCAGAAAAATCATTACATACAACACTGTAGAGAAGATAAGGAGGACATGCTGCATTGATCTAGAGGTAGAAAGTCCCAGGAACACAAACTCAGCAACCTCAGAAAAATTTGCTTCATACATTGACTTCATTGTTTCCTAAAAGAACACAACAAACAAATAACAAAAGCAATTACAGAAATAAACATTGGCAGAAATTATGTGTTGTTGTTAGGTGTCATGAAGTATGACTTACAGTGAATCTATCAACAATCTCTGTTGTGTTCTATACTGCACATTCCTAATCATCTCTGACATGTTTGAATCTATTGCAGCAGTCACTGTGTCAATCCACTCAGTTGGTGGGTATTCCTCTTTTCCAAGCATAATCTCTTTTTGCAAAAAAATTTAAATGTTACATATCAAGTCAAAATCAATCCACAACTGACTATGTCGTGAGGTTTCAAAGGCAATAAATTGCATGAGAGTAGATTCCCGTCTTTCTACCATGATTCCAAGAAATGGCACCTCCTAGCAACATGCCCAAAAGTGTGAGATAAAGCTTTGCCATTTTTGCCTCCAAGGAGCATTCTGGCTGCACTTCCTTCAAGATATAGTTTTTTGTTGTTTTATAGTCCATGGGATAGCCTGTAATCTTCTCCAACACCACAAATTGAAGACATAGATTCTTCTTCTTCTACCTTTATTTCTTGTACAGCTGTATTGCATAGCAACTGAGTGAGAAGACCATGGACTGAATCAGATGTACCTCAGTTTTTAAACTCATATCTTTGCTCCTTAGTTATTTGGAGAGGTCTTCGACAGCAGACTTCCTACTGCCACACAACTTTTTTTTTCTTGAGTGCTGGTATTAAGGGTGTTGTTTGTGGATCCAAGTAAGAGAAAATAATTGGCATATTCAATATTTTCTCCATCTCTCCAGCAGTGACGATTTTTGCCTTTTTAACGTTGAGATATAATCTATATTGAAGACTGGAGTATTGATCTGAAGTATTTCAAGTCCTCTTCACTTTCAGCAAGCAAAGCTGTATCATCTGCATGATATAGTTTGTTCACGAGTCTTCCCTCAAACCTGATGCCACATTCTTCTTCATAAAGTACATTTTCTCAGATTATATCCTCAGCACACAGATTGAATTAGTATGTAGAAAAGATACAGCCCTGATACTACCATTCATGATATCAAACCATTCAATGTTCCCTTTTTCTATTCAGACAGTAACATCTTGCTCTATGTTTAAGTTTTGTATGAGTATAATCAAATGTGTGGGATCCCCATTATTCTCAATTTAAGCCATAATTTGTTATGATGTTTAGTAAAATGCCTTTGTACAGTTAATGAAACACAAGTATATATATTCTTTTATGTATTCTTTGCTTTCAATGATAGCCCTGGTGCCAGTCTCTTCTAAACCCAGCTTGAACCTCTGACAGCTCCCTGACAATGTACTATTTTAGGCATTTTGGAATGATCTTCAGCAATATATTTTCCTGCATAAGATTTAGTTGGTTTTAATTTCAGGTATTAAAAGAAATCTTCACTGACATGCACAAAGTATTTTGGAAAATTGGTGAACTTTTTTTATCTATTGAACTAATATCCCTAAGACAGAACATTTCTTTTATGTCATGTATTATTTCAAGATGTGCAGTAAACAGACCCAATTTTACAGGCTGTAGTTGGATATTCTTCTTAACAGAGTCCAGGTTCTTGGACAGTTTGCAGAAAAGATACAACCCTGACTACATCTTTCTTAACTTTAGTGTTCTCTTGTTCTGTTCACGCAACAGCTTCCTGGTTGAAGAATAGATTTTGCATGAACACAATTAAGTGCTCTGGAATTCACATTCTTCTCACTATTAAGCATAATTTCTTATAATCTCTACAGCCAAACGTCTTTTCATATTCAATAAATCACAGACATTTTTCTGGTATTCTTTGCTTTCAGCAAGGATCCACTAGCAATGACATTCCTGGTGCCATGTCCTCTTCTAAATCCAGATTGAATTTCTGGAAGTTCTCTGTCTATGTACTGTTCTGTAAAAACAGACACAACCCTGCTTGCTAAGAGTGAGGAAAACTTGAAGCACTTGCCAAAGAAGATTAAACACTGCAACCTTCAAAATGGATTGCATATCAACATCAAGAAAAAAAAAATTCTCATCACCGGACAAAGAGGCACCATCATGATGGATAAAAGATTGAAACTGTCAACAACTTCATCCTACTTAGATCCATAATCAATACAGTTGGTAACAGCATTTAAGAGATCAGGAAAAGTGTTGTACTAAGAAAGTCTGCAGTCAGAGCCCTCTCTAAATTATTGTGGAGCAAGGTTGTTAGTTTGAGGACTAAGTTGCATCTGATTCAGACCATGGCCTCAGTCACTATGCTGCTAAGAGCTGCATAATGAATAGGGATGGCAGAAGAAAAATTGATGCCTTTGAGCTGTGGTGTTAGAGAAAGTACTGAATATTCCTGGTTTTACTAAAGATCAAACAGATATGTCTTAGAAAAAGTGCAGAGTGTTCCTTGGAGGCAAGGATAATGAAGCTTCATCTTGCATATACTTTGGACAGGTTGCTCAGAGAGCGCATCCATTGGAGAAGGACATCATGTTTAGAAAGGTGGGAGGACAGTGAAAGAGAGAAAGACTCCCAACCATGTGGAATGACACAGACTGTAGCAATGAATTCAAGTGTGTCAGACATTGTGAGGTTTGCGTAAGATAGGACACAGTTCAGATCTGTTATTCACTGAGTTGCTATAAGTCACACTCGATAGCACCTAAAAACAACAATAATTGGACAAAGAATAGGGAAAATTGAAGATATTTTCCCTTGGAATTATGGTATTGGAAAATTTCTAATATACCACAGACAAAGAAATAAAAAACAAACAAATACATCTTGGATAAAGTGCAACAAGGGTGCTTCTTAGTGTCAAGGGTGGTAAAAATTATCAGATATACTTTGTTCATGTTGTCAGGAGGGGCCAAACCTTGGAAAAAGACCTCATGCTGGGAAAGGTAGAGGGTCAGAAAAAAGGCAAGATGATCCTATATGAGCTGGATTGACACATGACAGGAACAATGGCCTTGAGCATATCGGATTGTGAGAAAAGCATTTGAGAGGACAAGGTTCTGGCTTGTTGTTCATTGAGTCACTGTGAGTCATAGTTGACTCAATGACACCTAAGAACAATAACAACGTAGTATTATGGTGAAGCTAGGTTAGTTAGTCATAAATATAGATACAATTAACATAGTTTACATGAAGGAATCAAGCTAACTCCTATGAAAACAGTAAAACTCATCGAAGTGATCTCTCCTCTGGACTTTGCTAAATATGAAGTTATTACTAAGTAAAGTAGTCCAGAGAGAGTAAATGCTATGTGCAAAGGCTGAAGGTAGAAGACCAATGGGACAAGAGGATGAAGGGTTGAGATCACCCTGGAATGATATGACAAGCAGAATTCAGACATGACTATTTGTCAATCTTTTTCTTTTTTTCTAACAGCAATAGAAAAACACAAGAATTTTAAGCAATAGTCTAATCATATTTATGCTTTCAAACTTCACAAAAATTTCATTGTGAAGAATGAGAAAAAAAAGGACTAAAGTTAACCTTACAGTAACTTTATCAGGAAACTACTGTTGAAGCAAATCACATCAGTGTGGACAAAGTGAATTATTCAAGATAATTCTTATTATTTCATATTAATACTTACATGTTAAAATAAACAAGATATAGATCAAAAGAAAGCATAGACTATTTAGGCAAGCACTGAGTTGAAAGGTTTGTTTTAAAGTTATCCTTTTATTCATAAATTCTGGATAAAAATATGAAAAGTCACATATTATCTATACAGATATACATATACACACATGCATACAAACAAGCACTGTAAACATAAAAGTGAAAACTGTGGAAAACAGTTAAAAATATCAAAGAATTAAAATTCTTAGTATATTGCTATTTCCAAACAGAAAAGCAAAAAAAGTCACTATCAAGTTAAAATTAAACAAAACATAGTCTATTGACAAAAAGAATCATAATAATAATCATATCAAAAGTAAATTTCTCATTAGCGATATAATAGATTTAAATGAGACAACTTATGCATTATTTTACACTGAGTAAATTTTGAAAGATTTCTTTTCTTTAATTGGTAATTTATTTATGGAGGAGACTATTAGAAAATGGATACTCATATACTGATAACGAGGGAGCTTTGGTGCTCTAGCAGTTAAAGAGTTGCACTATCAACCCAAAAGTGCATGACTCAAATCTACCAGCATCTCTGAGGAACAAAGATAGACGGTCTCCTCACAGTGCTAAATGTAGCCTCTGAAAACCCGGTGGAGGATCAATTATAAGTTGATTCCAATTTAATGGCTTAATAACTTATTGATCATGAGGGTGCTAATTGATACAACTTTTCCAGAGAACACAAAAACATACCCTTTGTCAAAAGTTAAAAATGTATCATTATGACAAATTCCACTTTAAAGAAAATGGCAAGTAATAACAACAGGAAAGCTATGTTGTTGTGTTTTATCAAGTTGGAACCAAAGTTGAGGTGACCCTCCATTGTGTTTTGAAGGCAGTAAATTGCGTGGAAGGTTATTGCCCATTCTTCTCCCAAGGAGCAGCTGGTGTATTCAAACCTCCTGCTTTTGGTATTTCAGCACAACTTCTTACCACTAGGCCACTAGAACTCCCAAATCTATTACATCAGTCTTTATAGAAAGAGGAATCTAAAATAACTTTAATGCTCACAATAGACAAATTGTTCATACTACTTCCAAGGAAGGAAGCTATCCAAGTACTTGTATAGAAACAATAATCTACTGAAGTTATAAGAAGCATGATCATGATATAAGTTTAGCTGAAAATAGGTTATTAAAGCACATGTATAAAAAAAACCATTTCAAAAGAGTCTATGGTAGGAAAAAATTTGGGAAAAAATGCCTACTTTTAATTTTTATCAAGAGTGTATTAATGTCTGGACTCATATGTGTTAGGTTGTTTTTAGATACTAGGTTGGTCTGATACCAAAACACCATGACTGTTGTCTGGCCCTGTGTCACACCACAATCATTGCTGTATTTAAGCCAATT